TGCTGAACCAGAAACATAACCAGGCAGAACGGGTAGAATTTGATCAAAGTGATTAAAACGACTGATTTAGATCAGTGAGCAGGAAATTCTGATTTCACTAATAGATGTATCTTCTTCTGCAATTGTTTTTTTTAGTCATTTAACCAAAGTGAGGTTGATTCTATTTGACTGGTAACCAAAATCTGCTAATACACAATGAATTACAGCTTCTACAGCAAGATTGGTCCCTTTCTTGCTGTAAAGATACACCGTAACTGTACACATTATTTAAGCAGTTATGTAGCTTAAGAAACAAGTTTGCATTTTATGTCAGAAATGCGTGATGGGCTGCTGTTTTTTAATAGATGATTATCCATTTTCATTAAGGATTTATATCAAAGCATCATCTGGTTACGGATGTATTTAGAAGTGTTAGCAATGTTATTCAGAAGCAACAAACACAGTATTTTTGGCAGATAAATAAAGCCACATTAACTATGCCGGACAGTTAAAGGTAAAAAAAAAAAAAAAAAAAAAAGTTTAACCAAACATATTTTCCACTTTTTTACTGACTTTGTACAAAGAAAGCACTATTTGCAGCAAACAAACCCCAATGCCTTTTTATGTCCACCGCGGCTTTCTAGATATTAGAATAGGAGAGCTCTCATAGCTAAATTTTTTTCATAGTCTGGAGGAGGAGACTTTCTGCTTTTTTGATTCCCAGTTTCCTCAGATGATCAGTGGCCCCTCAGATGATCAGTTGGACTCTACTAGCTGAATAAACCAAAATGAAGAACATACATACCCTCTTTGTACTTGCAGAAGAGCTTAAGCTGGTTTCATGCTTGAAAGCATTCTGGGTCCACTCAGATCAGTATTTTATGCAATAGCTTCTGCAGAAAGCATGTACTACATGATTTTTTTGATGTTCAGTTTGAAGTTATTTCATTAGACTTTTGCAAGCTTAGATCTTGATAAAAGCATCATTTCAAACGTTAATTGTCAGAATATGTATTCAGAAAATGTATTCAATTTCTTTCAAACATCTGCCTTTTTACGCTTCGAAAAAGTCAATAATTTTTATTTACCATACAGTTGACAAGGGCTACCTTACCTTGGAGGAGAACTAGACCTTACCCCTAGCTAACACCAAAATAGAATGCACAAAGCACTACCCCTCCAGCTTGCACTAAAAATTCCTTTTTGACATTTACTGAATCCAGGCTCTGTAACACTGGGATAGGAACTGCAGTCCCAAACCAGCCGTGCTGTCATTAGAGGTTTGTCTTTTTCCAGACTTGCTCCACGTTCTATCACAGAGAGGCTGTCAGCTCATCTGTCTTGGAAACACAACACAGACAGAGGTCATCTCTCAGATAGCTGGGCTTTAGAAGTTAATACACACCTCCAAAATTCACCCGGAGACAAAGCGGCAGCCAGCACGGGTATGTGGGAGAGAGGGACTACAGCCTTTGCACAAATCCCTGCTTAGCAAGCAGAACGCAGGCTGCTGCATTCTGCACCTGCTGCATTCTCCGGGGCAGAAAATAGGCTGAATTCACCCGATTTCTCAAGGTTAGCGTGCTCATGCCTTTCCAAAAGGGATGGGACAACTCTCAGGAAAGATGCAGACCTTTCTCAAACTGCAGCGAAATAGAGGTTGGGCAAAACCAAGCTAGGACAGCATCGCCATTACTCCTGGGCCACGGCTTTGCTAGATAGAGAGGGGGCCAAATTCTCTCCCGCTGTCACTCCGGGCCCAGCAACTGAACAGCACACTAGAACGCTATGCAACTTGCCAGCCACGTAAATTATCCTAGAGGCATAAAACAGGCCATCGCTGAGGACATTAAAATGCTAATGATGGCAAAACACTGACCCACATAAATAGTTAGCAGTGGGCTAAGAAAAGCAGGCCGCTGTTAGAGCAGGAAAAAAAAAAATCAGAAATGGTTGTGTATCTAACAAGTACCATCCACAGCAGCTGAGGACTACCTAAGAGACAGCAGCTAGGGAAATGCTTGAGCCACCCGCTAGTTCCACCTGCTGGAATTAGTTCAAATCTCACTCCGTACAGTTCATCACAGCTACTTGCATTACCGGCAAACTGCTAAGAGCGTAAATGTTTTATTTAGAGAGGGAGGAAGATTTAAACGGCAGAGGGTTGACAAGCTGCAATGCGTTTTGTAGGAGTTGGCCGATAAATGCTTCAGCTAGACCCTCAGTGAAACTAACAGTTCAAATGAGCCCTGATTTTTCACTCCCCCAATATCTAGTTCCCCTGGTTGTTATTTTTTTAAGTAAACGCTTATCTGAAATTCTTAAAGAAGCCATTATTTCCTTGCTTTATTTTTTAAGGATTTGGTTCTAGCAGTATATATGCGCAACAAAAAAGACAATTTATTACAAAGAAAGATAGGCCAGAATATGTTTCCATGGTGTATTCTTTTCCCCTGCTCTCCCTAGTCTTCTCATGTGCCTCTTCTCATATGCCTATAAGTCTCCAAGGCAGAGAGAACACGAAGGAGAAAGAGGAAAATGCGAGTGAAAGGAAAAAAACATAAATTGTTCCATCCCCATTCCTACCTCCTAGGAAATATATAAATCTTGGGTAACTTCTCTGTACCTTTTAGTATCAGACAGTTCTTGTGTTGCAGCTCCAACATGCAGGAGACTGCGTTTATAGGGGACTTCAACCCATCTGAAAGGACACGACCTCCATGTGGATGGCCCACAATGATCAAAACAGAGAATTTCTAGCAAAATGAACGACTAGACTTGGGACCAAGCTGAGTACTCAGGAACACAGTATGGAACACCGGCTGATGAACTGCCTCATGCATATAAAGTACTTAAAAATAAATTAGTTTGCAGCAAGGCTATTGTTATCATGTAATAAAAGGGAGATTAAACTCATTATTATAAAATGTATAATCAGAAGAGTTTTACACAAGAAAATCATAGTGTAATGGTTGCACAAACAGAGAGGTGATTCTGGCTGTTGGATTCCTAATCTTGCAGCATGAGACTGGTGCAACAAAAACAAAAAGACAAGAAATGAGAAAGAGACTAATGCCCTACTCAGTAAAATCCAAGAAAACTTCAGAACTGTAGACTTAAGCATTAGTCAAAAGCGAACTCATCACCTTGGCCCTTCATTATACTTAGTTCAGTTCATTATACTTCCATCCAAAACGTATCCTTCCCTCCTAACCTCCACTTGAGGATACTACATGACGCTAGTACAAGCATTAGCGTGCCAAAAAGCTAACTATTATGAACAGTGCCTAGCTTTTCAAACAGTCACATATTAACAACCATTAAAGAAAAGTTACCTTTTGACATACAACACAGAATGTCTGAATGCCTTCCTCTGAACAATTTTTCTGAGCGTGAGACAGGGGTCTTTCACAGCTGGACATGGTAAAATACATTATGGACCCACTCCTATGCGCTGGCATTGGAAAAGAGCTTTTTAAACTGTCTTAGGCTCTTAAACGGACATTGCTCTTTTTACTGCGAGTACCACAGAAAATGCTGTCAGGCCTGTTTCTCTTGTTTTACTGAATTTACACTGTCATGCCAGCATTCATCCATTCTGTTTTCACGGGAGGAAGAAAAGATGCAAAATTCCTGCAAAGATACCTGAGCAGCCTGGCCATTACTCACTTCTTGTTTGCAGTTTGAAAATGAACTGTCATTCTGGAATAATTCTTCTCCTTCTGCTCTTCTCGGGTAGCTGAGGTAACAGTGAGGTCTCCAAAAAGGTCAACCAGCCAAGTCAGTCGGGCAATTCCACTGAAAGCTGGGAATCCTGCTTGCTTTTCATCAAGGACGCTACCTGGTACAACAGCAACACAGAGACTTGAGAAATGGGGAAGAGAATACTGCCCTGCACAGAAAAGGCTGAAGAAATTTCAGAGGTGCAGGCTTGGACATCAGGGTGTAGAGATCAGCGGAAATTTCACCATTTGGGAACCCAAAAAACACGGTCTACCCTGAAATGGATCAGCTATGACAGCAAAGGCTGCACAAAGTGCAGACACAACAAACCATTGAGGACATGTTGAGGGCAGAAGCATGTCTGTAGCTTCAGAAGGAGATGGAGGAGGGAGTAAAAAAATAACTCAGCAATCTCTCTCAACTCTTCCAGGAACGAAACAGCAGTGGAAAAGCCTGAAGGTCCCCTGGAGGCACTTCCTCAGAGCTTGTCTTCCTCTGTATGAAGGAGGGGGACTGGTCACTACCATCACAGTACAGGAGAGATGAAGAAGCACTTTCTCCCCCATTCAATGAGGTACACACTTGCATTCTTCATCAGAGGTAGCAGAGAGGTTAACAAAACAATGGCCAATAGAAGATAACTGTTAAGGCAAAGGTGTTTTTCAGATAATTCTCTAATTTCATGGAAACATCCAGAACTGACATGCATATCTCTAGCCCATTTATAGATAAGTCTCTCATCTAAAATGAGTGAATGAAGCCTAGAAGGGCTGACGTCTCTGCCGAGCAGGCAGACAAACCCAAGCAAATTTAGGTCTCCTCATAGCTATTGACCTGTGAAATGCAACATTCCCTTCACCAGGTCTTTCCCAGCCACCTCTTTCTTCAGCTGCTTGTACTCTTCGGTCAGCAGTTCAATGTGCTCCACATGGAGGACTTTACCTGTTGGTAAGAAAAACAAAAATCAGGCCAGATTAAATAAGAGTTTTCTGCATGAATCACAGAGTAGTGAAAGCTTCAACAGTCACTGGTGGGAGATCACTTAAAAACATCCTCATTCATGACTGGCAACATGATGTCAGGAGAAAAATCAAACTCATGCCCAGTGCTGAGGCATCAGTTTGGGTTCATGATTCTCAGGAGGCAACAAAGAAAGAGTCTATAATAACAGTAACCACAGTGATTAAGTGAAACTCTGCAAGGAAACCAAACACCCAACTAAAGCTGAAGCATTCGTCTTCAAAGTAAAACAAGGGTGAATTCTTGGCCTCTTTCCCCTCACACTTCTCTGTTCTGCACTCTTCCTCCCAGGGAATTAGGAAAACAGATTAAGAAGAAGGAAAAAAAAAAAAAAAAAAGCACAAAGCTGAGACCCAGATTGTAACAATATGTTAAGGAGCACCTCTCTCTATTGCATTTAATTGGGCTACTTTGCAATAGAGGTTAGTCAATCCTCATCTGAATCTGGCTCTCATTCAATACGTGCTTTTCTGGAAGGTCTCCAAGAGAGTCAATTTAGGCTGCTGACAGTAACTGCTGCTGCTTTGAGAGAAGAGGCATAAATTCTGCTTAATGGGAAGCCATTTGGCTAGGAACAAGTCAGTAAGTGGGGCTGGTAGAAGGAAATAGCAAAATAGGGAATTCTATACCTCCGGTGTTTTAGGGCAAAGTGACAAAGGAAATTTTTAAAAGGCAGTGGTATAAATAGTGCAACTTGTCCAAACAGCTTGCACTCTGCTCCTGTCCAGCACTGTTCCCTTTCTTACAGCTCCATACAAGCCCACTGACTGGCCTCAACTGACTTGTCAGCCTCTGACCCTTAGTACTGCAGGGATGGGAGCACATGCTTTCCAGAAATAAAGAGATTTTACTTAGAGACAAGCTTTCTTTCAAACAGGGAGGCCTTGCTGGTCCACAACAGCAGGAACAACTGCGTGATGAGCATACGTCACAAACACTGGAAGCTAAGGGTGCTGCTTCCAGTTTTATTTTCAATGAGAAAAAGGGCAGGGAGGTGCACAAGTCCAACGGCTACATTCATTAAGTGCTTTACTATCACTATGACAGAACTTTCCTTCTCTTTAACTGCATTCTTAGTGCCAGAAACTTTGAGATCAGAGCTCCTATGAGAGTAAACACACCTTAGACTTTAGCTTCAATGCTTGTGCGTTTACTTCCGCACTGGCATACATCTTAAATCCTAGACTGACAGCTCTCTGAGACATGTATACTTCCTTGAACAGCATGATCAGTGGGGCCCTACTCCCTGTCAGATGTCTTTGGTGCTACCCAATGTTTAAGTACGGATTAAGTTACGGTTTGAGAATAAATGCCGTTACCTCTCCGCTCGGCCATCTCCCAGAGCTCATGGGCTGCCTTAGCAGACAAAGCCATGGGGTACTCAACGAGGACATGTTTCCCAGCTTCTAAAAACGTTCTGAAAGGAATACAATATCATTCTTTAAGAAGTATATCATCATGATCATTTCTGTCCACGGTGCTAACTGCTCCTCACTCCTGCAGTCAGCCCTCTTTGGAGAAACACACAACATGGAGTAACAGAAATAAAAGGCATCTTTCCTAGCAAGAGGCTGTGGTGGCTACATCACACGTTTAAGCACCTGGAGAGCTAGGTTTTATTTCTGCCTTCTCCACAGATCTCACTCATCGGCTGCGAGTCACTACAATGCTGCAGTATTGAGCACTGCAATTTCTAACTTCCAGACACCCAAGGGGAAAACTGAGCCCTTCCTCTATATGATCTGTGAGGAAAAGCTTTGAATCCTGCTTTAAGCCACCTGCGCACCATACATAGGCCTAGAGGTAGCTGACTGCAATTATGAGAGAACTCAATGCATCTTAATCCCAACTACTCCAGGGCTTATTCAGTGCTCTAGGGAAGTCACTATCACACACTTCATACTTCCAGTCTGGCAGTCTCTCTTCAGGTGTTCACATGCTCTCCTTCAAAAGCTTAACACAGCTTCTGTATGCTTCTAACTTATGGAGGGGAAAAAACCAAAAAACAAATCAAGACCAAAAAACCCCACAAAATACCTGATGGTTTCTTCATGAGTTCTGTTCTCTGTGCTGATGAAGGCTGCATGGATATCTTTGCTTCTTAGAGCATCTTCCATGCTAATCTGTTTGGCCTCATTAATTTTGCCCAGGTTTCTCCTGATTATTAACAAAATAAACACATAATAAACGCAACAACACAATCAGAGCATAACCATTACAGTCCATTCTTCCCAATTAGATGCTGTGCAGCAGCACTTAGAAACTGTTCCCATGCCCCACTGTCACAGGGTAGAAAAGGAAGCTTGTGGTCCAGGAAAGAGATAAGCATGTTCAGACAGCAGTGGAGTGCACAAAATAACAAAATATACGGGTCAGTGTGTAGGTGGTGGTATCAGTATAGAAGCTGCTGACCCGCGGAAGTGTTTTTAAATAAGCATTATAGCACAAGAACAATTTTAAACGTGTAACTTGAAAGGGGACAGTGCTTCTACGGGAGAACTTCTCCCTGATGTGTTGGACTTCATAGCCAAAAGCACCTAAGTTCTCTGGACCATGTGCAACTAAAAGCAGCGCAGAGAAGCAGGAGAGGGAGAAAGCAACTACTTGGCTCTGATGGCTTGGGATGCAACATGCACACCATATCAGACAACGCTGCGGGAAGGATCTCTTGGCCACCTCCCTGAGCATATCACCCAACAAAAGCCTTCTGCGTCAGAAATGACTGGAGCAGACACCTTGACAGTATTAGGACAGAAAGGATGAATGTAGGCCACAAGCAGGACTTGAAAGCAAAGATAGGTAGTGTTTGTGTGTGATTGGGATGCAAAGAGCGATGCAACATTTCCAATAATGAGGGAGGAAAACGGTCTCTGAACTGTGCCTTTTGCTAGCACTATTTCTCCACAGAAGTAGCGGAAATCCTATCAATAATGGGTTCAGTGCTAGCTCAGCCCTGTTTGGCAGGGCAGTAAAGTGGATGACCTAATGGATCCTTTCCATCTCAAACAGCTCTGACTGCATGATTTAAATATAGCTGGAAAAAATACATTCACAGCCTGAGATCCATACATGTACTGCCTAACTATTTAAAACCTTCATGCTTTGCTGTTACAGAGCAGGCGCTCTAGCAGGAACGCTCAGAGGGAGGTATATGTGTAACACAGACCTGCTAAACTTCCACTGCTCCAAGCTAGTGACAGAAACAGCAACATTTCTCTCTAAAAGGCAACCTTACTGTAGCCACTAAATTAGGATTTTCTTTCCAAAAACCTACACTTTCAATATCTGGCTTTAAAAAATTAAATAGATTTTTATGAGGCCGTTATGAGTGTCAGGAGTTTTACAAAACATATATTTTAACTTTTCTTTTCGCAACACTTTAGACATTTCCATAAATTTATTCTATACATTTCATACAGACATTAGCTCATTCATGTAACTGTTATAAGTTTGTACTATCCTGAACCTACAGCAAATTTTGGTCAGTCAGAATTGCATTTCTTTTTAATCACACAGATCCTGTAGTGAGAAGGGTCTCTCAGCTTTTATTTTAAATAGAGTCAAATCTGCACAGCGTCTCACTAAGGTAACCTACTTCTTCCCCTTGCAAAGCTTTTCTGTGCTCATTTCCTAGCCGATACTCAGAACGACAGGCACACTTGCATAAACTTTCCCTGGTCAGAATGCCTTGATGTTAAGAGAAATATAAAACATTGGATATTCACGCTCCCCCATCCCCCTCAAGTAATAGTCCTCCATATGGAAAAACAAGTGCACAGGGAGAAAGAGACATTGAAACATACATATGAAACACGCTAAGATGAAATTTCTAACCTGGATACAAATCCAAAGAGTTTCAGATGCTCAGAAGGGCTGGAAGGCATTGGATTCATCAAGTCTCGGATCCGTGCTAAGCCAGCAATTCCAAGTCCAACAACCACAGTCCCAAACATTTTGTTAATCTGATCAAAGGAAAAAAAAAAAAAAACAAATGATTTTTTGGGAGGAGGAACAGCTGGGGTGGGGCAAGCTGGAGGATGCCCTAGTCTTCAATCCTGCTTTTATACAGCCATACCTTATTCAGATGACAGCAACTAGCTAACACAGATGGGATGCTACAAGGTACTGAGCCCACTCACATCCTATTGAAACGTGCTTCAAGAGTTTCAGCGTGTCATGCAACTGGCCTTGAGACTTGTATTTACCAGTTGTTATACCCCAGCTCTAGCACAAAGTTCTTCCTTTCCGTGAAAGGAAGGCAGACTTCAAAGGTGAGACGTTCTTCTATTTATATTACAGCGTCCACGCTGGAAAGAAGCTGAAAGGTTCTGCAAACCCAGCAAAGTTTTATATAAGCTCTCTTCTCTTCCTAAGCCTCTGCAGCACAGCCTCCTGCGGGCTGACACATGGACATTAACAGCGCATAGCAGCATAGCCAGAACACTTTGAGACAGGAAGTAAAGAATATCTATTTTTTCCCCGTTGCAACTGCTGGCAAACTCTACAGTGTCAGGATGCAATTACCCACCTGACAATTTGGCCAGGATGCTCGCTTGAAATTTCCACACATGAAGCAAGCTCCACAAGCTCTTTAATGACGAGCTGGCACAGCCTCAAGATTTACATCTTCCAAAAGCACGTCCCAGTCACAAAATTGCATCCTGTGGAGCACTAGCCAGGGGCAGTACCCTCGCTGCCCCAGCTGCTGGGCCACAGGTAATAACCTCTCCTGCCTGTTCTCTGCTTGGTCATTGATTTGCAGATGCACTGAGCAACCTGGTTAACCCTTCAAGCTTTCATTGTTCCTCCACAAAAAAGAAACCCTAAAAATCAAGGGAAAAAGAAAAAGCCCTAAAATCAAGCCACGTTGGCCTCTCTGTATATTTTGTTCATTCCACCCTATTACAATCCCCCTTCAACTCTGTTTCTTGTATTTTGGTGTTCTCTCTCCTGCCTCTGCCAAATCCTTCACCTGAGTGAGCTCTTTTGATTACTTCCACTACTTGACTTCCACTTCAAGTCCTTCTGAGACTTTACTAGATAAATGGACAACTCCACTCCGCTCCTCCTTGTGCCTCTTGTCTGATGGGATCACAGCGCAGTTGGCACAAAGGAAAAAAATGAAAGAAAGCTCTTATCCAATCACATGCCATGTCTGGATTTTCTTTTCTTTATAAGCTCTTTCCTACATATGTATTCCTGTCACTGCTGAACTTGGCTTACTTTATACATGCCAAACGTGTATGAGGGTAAAACATACAGTGACTTGTTCAATACGAAAGAAGAAATGATCTCCAGTGGGATTACAGTGACGTATCATTACCAAATATTTGTAGTATAACATAATGACACTGCTCACCAGGGACGACAGATGTATGGGACTCTCAGAGAGAGAGGAGAAAAGAGGACAGCAAGATCACCACCATGTAATCTATTATGAATTGCATCCACAAACAGAATTTAGGATTGGATTCTCATTGATACCCATTTTTCTCTACAGCTACAACTCAACTCAGAATGACAGAATAACCTAGGTTGGAAGGAACCTCCGGGGGTTATCTGACCCAAACCCCACTCAAAGAGGGGCCAGCTACATCGGGTTGCTCAGGGCCTTGTCACGTTCTGGCTGCGCCCACAGATGGAAATCTGGTAACCTCTCAGGGCTCCCGTTACAGGGTTTGTCCACCTTCATAGCGAAAATTTCTTCCTAGTATCTATTCAGTTTCCCGTGTTGCCTCTTGCCATTCCACTGTGCAGCTCACAGTCTGGGTTCAGCTCCTCTATACCCTCTCATCAGATAGCTGTAAGCACCAAAAACCTGCCTTCAGAAAGCAGAACAAACCCAGCTCCCTCAGTCGCTCTTCATATGCTCCAGCCCCCGCCCATCTTTGTGGCTCTCCACTGGACTAGCTCCTGTACATCAACATCTTTCTTGTACAGGGGAGCACAAAACTGGACACAGCACCCTAGGTGTAGCCAGGCCCTTCTGGCTACACTCTTGCTAATGCAGCCCCGGATGCGGGTGGCCTTCTTTGCCAGAAGCGAATGCTGTGGCCTCTGGTTCAACTTCTCCACTAGCACCTGCCGGCCATTTTCTGGCTTTCCAGCCAGTCAGTGCCCAGCCTGTACCGCTACATCCCTGCCACAGGACTTTGCATTTGCCTGTGTTGAACTTAATGATCTTCCTGTCTTTCCATCTCTCCAGCCTGCCTACTCAGGAGGAACGTATACAAATATTTTACAAGCTTGCGGGAATGGAGTTGGAAAAGCCCAAGCGCAGATGAAGCTGAAAGTAGGATGTGAAGGGCAACAGGAAAGGCTTCTATGGGTACACTGGCAACAAAAGAAAGGTTGAGGAAAATAAGGGCCTGCTGCTCAACGGGGACTCCATGCCTTTTTGCCCCAGCTTTCACTAGTAAGGTGAAGTTCAGGCTTCCCAAGTTTGAGAGTCCACTAACAGACTCTGTGGGAATGTAGCATTACCCTCAGTAGAGGAAGCTGGAGTTAGAGAGCTCTTAAGCTAATTGGACATACACAAGCCCCTGGGACCAGACAAGGTGCATCCAAGGGTCCTGAGGGACCTAGCTGTTGTCACTGCGATGTCTCTCTCTATCACCCCTGAGAGGTCATGGCAATCAGGTTCCTGGTGACTGTAAAAAAGGTGAGGATTGCACCCACCTTCAAGAAGGGAAAGAATGAGGATCTTGGGACCTGCAGGCTGGTCAGCCTCACTCTACTCCTGGGTAGTCTGTCCTGGCTTCTGTCTACGGGCACTTTCTTTTCACGTTTGAGCTCCAAGGAGGTCGTTCCTGAAGATCAACCTCCAAGGCAGTCTCCCATGGGATCTTGCCAAGTAGATCCATCAACAAGCCAGAACTTGCTCTGCTGAAGTCTGTGGTTGTAATTCTTTAAGATTTAGATTCATAAAGGGCTCCAGTGTGAATCAGGCCCAGGTCAACTGAAGTTCAGAATCAGTCCAGCTGGAGAACGGTTGATCAGGGCTTATCTTAAGGTCAGAAATTTTCAAGGTTACTGGAGTCTTAAGCTGCTAATATTTGCTTACTGCCTTTAGTGGGATTGGCGTTGGGAGTTACACAGCAGAAAATTCCCCTGAATCTTCCGCAGTCGTCGTTTCCAAGAACTGCTTTTTCTGGCTAGCTCCTGACCTCCACTTCAGCTAAGCGGAGAGGGTGGGGGGAGCCGACTATCTTCTTCCACTGACATAAACAACGAACACTTTTCAACGGATGCTCAGGATGCCAAACATCAACATTTTCACTTCTCCCTTGAAAAGCTTCCCTAATTTCATCTGATGACCAACTTCTGACCACCCAAAGCAGTCATATTTAGGAGAAGCAAGATGGTTTCAACCTAGGAATAAAAACTGTTACTATGCAACTTGTTGTCATAGCAACTAGCCATTCCGTTCAGGTCTTTGAGCTCTTCAAGGTTTCACAGTTGAATACAGTATTCACCCCAAAAGATACTAAATGCACATTACAGAGCCTTTGCTTACGCAGGTAGCTAAGAGAAAAATCACTATGTCTCCATCACTGGTGCTGTTTTTTATTTCCTTTATTTTGTAGGGGGAACTGTCATGGACCAGAGAGAGTAGAAATCAGTCCTGATGATTATATGAAAACTTACTCATTTCCCCTTTGTTTCAAAACTTTTTAGCAGGACAACAGTTACAGTTATCTTTCAAGCACAAAAATGATGAAAGAGGAGGTCCAAACTGTAAACTGCCTTGCCTGCCTTCCACGGCTTTTTCTTAAAATCGGCGACCTTTGCTAAAGCTTTGACGAAAAGATTTCAGTGTCATTTTTCAAGGCTGCTGAGCCTTGACTCCTGCCATATTGAAAAAATGTACAGTAAGTGGCATAACAGTAAGACAAAGAGCATCCAAAAGCATTTTTCTCCATCCTTTTTCTCTCCTAACCAGCTGAATGAAAGAAAAGGGCTGGTGAGAAGATTATAAAGGAATCTCCTTCCCACACAGGGCATGTGATTAAGGAGTCCCCCCCCC